CAGATATAATATCTTTAAACTTTAACAACCAGCTAATCTTATCTTGCAAATTTAATAAAATAATTAGATATTTAGAATTTTTTTTAGATGACAAAGGCTTTATTAAACCTATACTAGAAAAAATTTTTAGAAAAACTTTTTAATTTATTCATACTATCTAATACAAAACACTTTTTTTTATACAAATATTCTAACTATTTAATACTATTCTATCATCATCAATAGAATATCTAATTTGAATATATTCTCTTTTACAAAATAAACTCCAATAACTATCAAGTCTTTTAACAAAGTACACTAAACACATGTTATACCTATCTATTAATACAAATAATAACATACTTACAAACTCATAACTACTCAATATTCTAACACTTAACAAACTTATGCTACAAGTTAGCAGTATCAACATAGAAATATGCTTCAATACTAATATATTCCTAAATCAAATCTCTATACATCAGATCAAAAATTAGCTTTTTAAAATATAGAAACCCTTATTAACTCAAAATATAATTCTAACAAACTATAAAAAATCTACTAATTTTACTATAATATCTTAACTCTATTATTTATACAAAAATAATATTTTTATAAATAACATTCATCTAAATCAATTAATAACTTACAAACTAATTAACCAAATAAACAATATTTATAACTTCATTACATCTTCTAACAACTCAACAACTTTAAGTCTTAGAAATAATAAAATTTTTTTTTTAGAACAATTACTTACAGCTAATAATTGCAACTTATTTTCTTAAAAAAACATATATTTCAAAACCCTTAAATCTTCATAAGGTTTTATCTTAAAATAGTTTAAAATATTCTCAAACCAAATATTCTATTATCTTATATTACACATATAGTCTAATCTTTAACTTCAATCTATTAATTCATTTTTAAATATATTAAATCTTATTACATTATATTTTATTATTTTAAAAAACATTTAGTTACTCTACATTTCATCATTAAATTAGCATATTGGCAAAATAACTAATACATCCAACTTTTAAATATTTTTTCAAAAATATCAAATTATTAATTTAGCAACTAATACAATTTATATTTCTTCTATATCTATAATGTTTCAAATAAATTACAAACAAACTATTAATCTAAAATACAAAATACAAAAAGAAAACAATACTTTGAACTTAATATAAACAATCAAGAAATTCAAACTTTACAAAATATTTATACAGATCTAAATAAGCTTGCTCCAAAATTTTTACTATCTCTCTTACTACCTTCTTTAGAAATCTTGCTAATACAAAACACAATATCTGACTCTATATACCAAAACTAATTCATAAACCTTCACAAAAAATTACTATCTATTGATCTAGCTAACTTATATTTTTACACAGATGCCTCTATATTTAATTTACAAACACACAACATCTCTATAAGCATTGTTTAAATTCTGAAAAATAATATACAAATTAAATTTAATACCTTTATAACTTATGCACCAAAACTCTATATAAGCAAAACTAGTAGCACTCATTTACTTGTTTTTCATCTTATCTACTAACTATTTAATTCATATTCATCTTGACAGTCTATCTACTATACAAACTTTTACAAACTTAATATCTTATAAATATAACTCTCAAACTAAACAAAATAATTAGAATATTATTCATATTCTAAATTATTTAATCAAACTCTAAAAATATTAACTATACTACACACAAAGTCAAATCATATTTAAATAATACTCTATATAACATAGTTAATATTTTAGCCAAACATAGTGCTAAAAAAACTAAACTAAAATTTAATCTTAACTACTTTTATTTATCTACTTTTTTACTTAAAAAGAAATACCAATTATATACAAACTTCATAAATTCTGCAAAAACCTTTTTTTTATTCAAATATTTAATCAACTTAAATTACTATGAAATCTCTCTATTATTAATATTCTACTATTTACTAAAATTATTAACTTTCAAAATTCTAATTCAAAACTCTATTCTATTAGAAATAAAATACTTCTAAATAACTTATCAACAATGTTAAATTTAAATATTTACTATTCTTTACTATATTTAACTTCAAACTGCTTATATTGTAACTAATATAAAAATACTGAACACTTATTTTAATGTTTACTTCATTTTTACAATTCATAAAATATTCTTATTAATAAAATTACCAACATTTTAAACTTCTTAAACTTTTTAAAAACTTTATCATATATAATAATACAAATCTTAAATCAACAAAATCTTTTTTTAAATTTAATATATATAATATAATACTTCTATTTATTTAGAGTACAATAACTTTTAACCAATACAATAATTCTAAAAAAACTAATTTTCTTATTTTTTTATTCAACTCTCTACTTAATTGGTTTAACTCTACTATTTGGCAAACTTAAAATATCAAATAACAAATAAAAATCAATACAAGGAATTATTGCCTTTACTAAAAAGAAAAACAAGGCTTGATTATCTATTATACAAACTTTTAACTCTAATAATAATATATGTATATTTAATACTAATATAGAAACCTTTAGGGTCAATAACATAGTGTTTATGTTCTAAGATTACAAATTACAATGTTGCCAGTTCAAAACCTAGTAACAGCAATTGTAAAAATGTATTTCTAAAATAGTAAACTATAACACTGTAGCACTAGATATCTAAAATGTTATTGAACAGACTTATTTCTAGAAAAGCCAAGTAATCTGTAATTGAGAAGCCACCTAGTAATAAATATGAGTTAAAGTTCAATTTGAAATAACCAAAGTCATAAGATATAATATAAAGTTGAAAGTCTGACAATAAGAGATATTATATGAACTTATAGTAATAGCCAATTTTGAACAGAGCTTGTCAAAGCTTCTGATTCTGGCAAAGGTTAGTATAATGAATCATTTTTGAAAAGTTTTAAAACATGAACTGAGGAAAATTAAGATTTAGTGTTTAAAAACATTAAAAACATTAGTTTAAAAATATATAGAATATAAGAAAGATCTTGGTAAAATCATTAAAAAAAAAAAAAAAATACTGATATAAACTAATTTATTCTTAAAACTCTTTTTCAAAATTTAATATATATATCTGCTTTTATTAATTAAAATAATTCTAAGAGTTCTTTTTATTCTCTTCTGTAGTTAATGATTATAATAGTTGATTTAACTAAAATAAAAAATTAAAAGTTAATATCATACTAGATGTTGTTAGTATATAGTAATAATAGTATAGTTTAGAAATATTTTATTTATATATTCATATTTAATTGATATACTTATATATTACTATTTTTCTATTTGATATTATATAATTAAAAAAAAAAAATATTTTAACTGCAAGTATTAGTTTTAACTATATAGTAATATTAGATTAACTAAAAATTGAATAATAGAAAATTTTAAAGAGTTTAGTATAAGGTTAAAAGTTTCTTATATAATGAACCACTTTAAAGACTTAATAATTATATATATTATATTTGTATTAATAAAAACTAAGATAGTTGATAAGATAGATAAATAAATAAATACAAAAACTAGAATGTTTAAATAAAAGACTTATAAGCAGGTTCTAGGTATAACAACTATGATGCAAGACATCTATACTCAACAGTTACACAAAGTGTTTTAATTTTTCAAATGCCTATAATTTTTTATCTAAAAAGTTTTTAAAAAATCTGACTAGTAACTTTATAAAACTACATTAGCTCTATATATATGCTAAATATTATTTTAAAATCTTATTACTATAAAAAGTTTTAGCAATTTAAAAATTGAAATTATATATATAAATTTATAAATTTATATATAAAATTTCAATTTTCAAATTATTAAAACTTTTTATAGTAATGAGATTTTGAAATGATATTTAGCATATATATAGAGCTAATGTAGTTTTATAAAGTTACTAATCAGATTTTTTAAAAACTTCTTAGATAAAAAGTTATAGGCATTTGAAAAATTAAAACACTTTGTATAACTGTTAAGTATAGATGTCTTGCACCATAGTATAAAACTTTTGAACAGATTACTTAGATTAGACAATAACTAAAGTTATACAAATAACTAATTATATACTTTTCTTATAATTGTTTTTTGTAACTGTTGTAATATAATTACAAAACTAAAACATATTATCAATAAAAACCTGAATTGCAAGTATTTACCTTAATATTAAAAAAAAAATAATAATTATAATATTAATTAAAAATATATTAAGCAAGAATTATGTAACCAATTGAGATTTAAGTAATAATTTGCTTACTATCAACTAAAGAACTAACATAACATGAACCACCAATCAAATTACAAGTATTAAAAAATGATCTACAAACGATCTGCATAAAATTAACCAATCAAACGAATTTCTGCCTATGACTCGAACCTAAATATTATATTTAGAACTGCTAAGAATTACTGAACTGCTTAAAGTTACTTCAGTTTTATCTTTAACCCATTCCAACTTAGGTTGGACTTACTCTACTCCATTAGCAACCCTAATTATATATACATAGCAGGTTTAAAATAATCTATTTTTTTATTACGTATAATTGATGATGATATATATTTATACTTTCTGGTTTTAAAGCTTTTTTTTTTTTGTAATTATACGTGCATATATAAGATTTTGTAATTTAATTTAATTGACTTTATATAAATTTGTAAAAATATACATTTCATGTTAATTTTTTTTTAACAGCTTAAAAATATTGATAGCAATAGTTATTTAATTTTATCGTTATACCACACTAAATAAAAATCAGCTAAAATTATTTTCAAAATCGGCTAATCGAATTTTCATTGAGACCGAAGCTAGGATTATTACTACGTATACCATTTCTACAATTTCGATGGTAATAAACGAATATAAGTTATATATAAAATCGAGAAATAAATAATGATCGGGACAGGATCACTAGGCTGGGGGTACAAAGATATCTCATGCAACCTATTTATTGATTTTACCACCCCAGTACAACTTTCATCAACTTATTTTTTTTGAATTATGACTTGCGTGCAAGAAAGAATTGGAAACGAATTACTAGAAGAAGACGAGCAGGTATTTTATTAAAATATCTATTGTTTAGCGATCGTGATTCACTAATTAATACATATAAATTATATAGGCTATGTTAAACCAGGCTATTGCACTCTCCTTAATGAAAAATAGTGATATTGAAGACAGTCCACATCAGTCCCAGTCCATTCCAACTCAAGCACTTACGCTTTTCTTGAGAAAAAACGACAATACAAACGACGCCGAAGATCTGTATGAGAACTTCGAATCTATTCCACGTTCAATGTCATTTGCAACGACATTATCTCAAGGGTCAACGTTATCTGGCTCAGATCTTTATACTGATATAGACAACGAGAGGACGAGACAACGAGTATATACTCGTCGAAGATATCCGCATTCGTTTAACGATCTTCTGGAAGATATATGCAGGTAACAACATAATTAAGCCTTGGGTTTGATAAATATAAAAGTTTGTTGTGACTGACGTTATTTAATATAAAATTGTTAGTTATCTTTATTTTCTTATCAAAGCTACCTGTCTTTCAATTGTTTTGGTAATTCTATCGTTAATAGTAATCACGGTAGTCCAATTTACGACAGCATTTCTATATGCTGTTAACGCTGAGCTTGAAAGCATAGCAACAGGTTTGTTAGAAGTTGTTGAATTTATAAACATTATGTTTACATTGGACTAAATCTTTTACGAATATTTAGAAGTCGAATTACAAATACTAAAATGTCAACAAGAATATGCAATAAATCAATGCGATCCAGAGAGTCGAGTGCCATTCTTGGAAGAGAATTGTACATTTTGGGCAAAATGTAGTAAACAAGATCCGTACAATGTAGTGACTAGAGCAGAAGTGATTGCTGGACTGATTGCACGTCTAATTTCTGCTTTTGTTAGTAAACTTACATACGAAACAATGATATTTATCTTCATATTAAATATAATATTCTTTGGCACAATTTTACACCGGCTTACGTAGGGGGGATTTCCGTTTTTCTTTCTTTTTTTACAAACGCCAAAAGCATATTATTGATAGAATAAATATCATTGTAATTAATTTCATTATATATGTTAAGAGGTAATTGATTTACTTTTTATCATATACATTAATCAAGAGGAGGATCCACCTTTATACTTAATGGATGTAACTTATACTTGTGTACCACCTGTGCAAGTGGATTCTATCAATCTTCAACATAAATTAACCTGTATTTACATACAGTGAAACCTCCATGAGTGCACCTTCTATAGGTGCACACACTCTCTAAATGCACGCTTAAATTCAGGTCCAAATATATAGATTACTTCCATAACTGCACTTTTTCTTATTGTTCTTTGAGTGCACATCTTTAAAGTTCGGTCCCAAGAGCGTGTACTTATGGAGGTTTTACTGTAATTAGTAGAGCACTGGCTAGATGATAGGCTTACTGGGCTCTATTAAATTTAAATATTTACTCAATTAAACCAAATTAATCTGTATTTAAATAATTAATAGAACACTGGCTAGATGATAGGCGTAATGAGCTCTATTAAATTTAATCAATCAAACCATTATATTATCAAAAGTTTGAAAAAAATTTAGTCTATTGAAATTCAATCTAAATTTTATATTTTACTATCATTATTATGGTTATAATTAAAGAATATGTACGTATAGCACATCTCGGAACCTTATGACTAATCAAACATGCGTTTAAAGGGATATGCAATAAGAGAGGAATATGCAACAAACCCTATCACATACAGTATCATGCTCAAAATAATATTTTTTTTAATTATATAATTTTTATTTTTAATGAAAAAATATTTTAAGAGGTTAAAGGGGTATAAAAAAATAGTAAATTTAGTAGTAGAAATTGTTGGAAGTTAATATAGTTTTGGAATGCAGCTAGCTTACAGTGAAGTCTTTTATGCTAAATAAACTTCTGACAAATGTTGTGAAGCAAGTTAGAATTATGAAAATCGATTTGATTTATTGGGGGTATTATAGCAATTATATACTTTAGTCAGTGGCGTATAGTAACTACATAATTCATTTTCATTTATTTATTTATTTATTTACGTATCTCGGAACTGTATGACTAATCAAACTGTATTCGTTACAATGCAGGATAACATAAAACTATATACTGCATATCGATATATTCTTACACTCCTCTAATTTAGGGACTTTTAAATCAATCTAAAGTTGATTCTGAAATTATTTAGTAGATAATTTTTAAACCAACAAATGTTTGAGACTATAATTAGATTAGGAATTTGCATCGGGCATTATTTGATTAATTGGCAAATGATAATATTATAGTTAGTATATCTTGTATCGGAGAAGTCATGGAAGAATTTACAAGCTCCTAAAACACAAAATTTTATAAAGTGTTTCAAGGCATGCTTTTAAATTACATTGAATTTTTACAATCTATATAGTTACATTTAGGTTGATATGACTAGTGCACCTAATAATCGAGTAGGTTGAAAGTCCAACCCGAGTTATCGAGTTCTACAAAATAACAATGTAAAGTTACTTATAATGTATTTAATTTCTCAACCTACTTGGGTTATCAAGATTGGACCTCTGATCTGGTTGATTTGAACAAACTCGCTCGATTAGATGTATTAAATACGATTGCGTATATAAGGCTTTTTTACGCACTTATGGCTTTTGTAGAATCCAAATTCTGAAATTTTGCTTAGGTTTTATAAAAAGAATTTTAATCATATTGTATATCAGGTTGATTTTAAAAAAACAGAGAATATAATCGAGATTAAGTTAATCATTAATAGAGCCAATTCTATATCAATATCTTTATTATTATTTATAACCGACAAAATTTTAATTTCAATGTAAATATATATCAGTTTAATATGTCGGAACGGAATTATTGTGGATTTAGAATCCACTTAGGTTGGAGTGGAATTCTAAATGTAGTCCAAGTTGATACGAATTTAAAAGTAACTTAGGTTAATTCTAAATTTGATATTGTAATAATCAATAAATTTAGATTAATTTTAAATTCGATACTGTAATCAATTGATGTAACAGTAGTTAAAAAAATTACATTATACCATCATAATAAATTAAGCAAATTGTTTTCTTATTGCATTTTTTCACTTTTTGCACATTTTACTTAATAATTGAATCTTAAGATTATTTATTTTACTTCATAATGCATTTGAAGAATTGTTTTTCAATCCTTTTAGCAATAATTTTTTTTTATTAATTGAACAGTTGTGTTAGTACGGTTTTATTGATTGAAAAAAGCACCTATACATCATACATTTTAGTCAATCTGCTAACATTAGTAGCATAATATCAAAATATTATAAGACCTGAACTACTTCAGTGGCATCAACAGATTTTTACTAATTAATAATTTTTTTAAAATCATAAAATAATACATTAAAGTTAGGTTTACATATAATTATAACAATACTTGTTTTATATTAAGATTTTGCAAAAAAATTTTTTTATCAATACACAAAATATAATTATATAAATAAATTTTGAGTTATAATAATTATTTTATAAATAGT